CTGGCTTGGGGCATGTGACGTACCTTAATGGCCACGTAAACATCAATCAAGGGATGTCACAGGGGATCATCGTGAAGGTGACTGGGCCCAGCAGCAGCGCGTTCACCACTTGTTGAGGTTGGCGGTTTGAACCGGCAGGCCGTCCTGGTCATCACTGCGGGTGTATGCAATATTACGCCCCGTCTGATTCAGAGTGGATGTCAAAGATCCCGGACGTCATTAGAAACGAGCCAGCCATTGTGTCGTGTAATTTAAGGACAATGTAATACAGTCGACCCTTCTGCATCGCGACTTTCCCCATCACGGTTTCGATATATCGCGGGGTCGGCATAAGAAAATAAAATGGGAATTTTTTTGGGAGTTTTGCGAAGACCGCAGACGACACGCGAAGGCCAGCAGACGACACACAAAGTTTAGTAACTCATAACTGAATAAAACATTTAAAGTACCGTATAATATTCATCTATTTTATCTTTTAATACCATAAATATACCCAATTTTTTAAAGAAAGATTTTGTAAAAGTTAAAGTTTGCAAAAAGAACGCGAAAGCCAGCAGACGACACGCAAAGGCTGGATATGTAGACATAACTTAAAACCCCGGCTGGAAGTGCTCTCTTCACTCGCCAAGGGGACCAACAAATTGTACGCGTTTTTTCTAGATTGCGGGGGGCCTGCGCCCCTAACCCCCGCGATGTGGAAGGGTCGACTGTAGAAGTGAGGGCATTTCAATGGCCCTACCACAATAATAGGTAAATTTGCAGATCTCAAATGTATTGTCAAAAAACCTTCACGAGGGAAATATTCAGCGTTCCAACTTGGGTGTATTGTTCACAAACTCTTCCATGTTGACCCCACTGCACGTGACTTGCTGATCGACTGTGGTGCAGCTGTTTATACTGCTGATATTTGAAAACACTATTTTATCTAGGAATGGAATAGAACCGATGACCCTTGGATTGCAAGTCTAGTGTACGAACCATTGCACCACAACAGTAGCATCCTGACAGCAACTTCATTTACTCAATGTAGCTGCGATGAACTGCCAGTAGGCAGAGACGTGGCCCAGTGGTAGTAGTTCATGGCCTTGTTAGAGGATTGCAGGAGCCGGGCGATCAGCCAGCATAGCTGCAGTGTTTGTCAACCATAAAATACGACTCTGTGCCGTCTGCTTCACTGGATATTAAATATCCCCTGGTATCAATCAGGAGCAGGTAATTTTGTGCCGACTGTATTGTTCACATTTTCGAAGTCAAAAAATTACCTAAAAATTACGCAGTAACATCACCCCCTGCTGTAAAAATATTGCAACCTGTGTCTGTGAAACTTATTGTCTTTGTGATAGTCGTGATGTGTGCATGAACAAGTGTACTAAATTACTTCCGCTCAACTTATCCCCAGTCAAATATTGACTTAAAGCTTTAGTGACTGCAGGAATTCATATTCTTTGGGTCGCTTGTGTTGCAATCGAAACGCCGTAGTTTTTTGTCATTTTTTATTTGAACCTATCTACGTGACTTCACCCAAAGACCCAAAGAATATTGTCCCCAGTCCTGCCAAGTTCAGAAGTGGGCAGCATTGAGCCTCTCAAGATGGCTGCTTCTGAGTGTCCATGAACAAGGTCAGCAGTTTGCCAATGCAAAATAATGGATTACCTCTGCAAAGTCATGCCGATTTATGTACGTAGATTACACAACGTTGAAGACAACTACGAGCTCAAAGTGCATCTAAATGCCCGGTTGCAAATGTATGATGCAGAGCCTTTCTTCCTTGGAGTTATGTTGGAGAGGAGTCTGCCATTCCTTCAACAGCTTAAGGTATACAGAAAGTTGTGCTCACGGCATGGTCTTCCAGCACGGCTGGCCGCCTCAACCTTGGGCACTGTCACCCATACACTACGTAGGGCAGGTCTCGCTCTGCAGCAAAATAAGGGCCACCCCTATGCACTTGATTGGCACACAGACAATTGGCAGACATTCATCTGAAGGTCAGCATGGGAACAATCTCTGGTGCAATGACGACAGCCCCACTACCGTGGCTGCCAGTTCGTCATCAAGCAGCAGTAACCAAGATGCTGAACAAGGTGCATGCAGCACTGGAGTTACCTCTCCACGTTGATATTTTCAAGCCTCCATTTGTACCTCTGAAGTCCCGATAACCAGTTTGGGTGTCACCACAACCCCTACACCTGAGGATGCGTGATGTCCAGTCCCTCGGGCGCGGACTGGAGACACATCGGTCTGCGTAACGAGAACTTCATTGGTGACCCGTCTGTATAGGTGCGTAGCTTCCAACATCCTAAGGCATAAGGGGCTATCCATTTGGTACGTACGCAAAAATCTGTCAAAACTTGAACTCTCCCCCCTCCCTGTACGCACACGTACTTTTTACACCCCCCCTCCACCTGCGTATGTACGCTTGATGCACCCCCCCCCCTGAATCCTATAGAACGGTCGATGTTTAATCCACACAAAAACGATCAAGGATTAATAATAAAGTGTTTAAGCAAACTAGAGGCCGACCGAAATTCAGTTTCGGTTTCGGCGCCGAAAGTTGGCAAATGGCCTCTTTCGGCATACTTTCGGTTTCGGCCGAAAGTAAATTTTTACTTTCGGTCTGGTTTTGGTTTCAGCCGAAACTGATATTGAATTTTGGTCGTCATTCGTGAACTGAAGATCTATTTTTAGGATATAACGCTAATGCTCCGTCTATCACTCTGCCTATCGGCCGGTCAGTCGGTGCTAGGCAGAGGTCGCAATCGGGTACCCGATACCCGGCTACCCGTACCCGTTTGCGACCCTGGTGCGGCCGGGTACGGGTAGGCCGTGAGTCACTGGTGAGTAATCGTTAGGGTACGGGTACGGGTAGGGAACAGATACCCGTACCGTTAAACTTTCGTTTTTGGCTTCCATTTCGGCCGAAAGTAAATTTTGAACTTTCGGTCTGGTTTCTGACGAAACCAGAAATTCAGTTTCGGTCGGCCTCTAAAGCAAACAGTCCACCACCGGCTGCATTATTGTCGAGGCTTCACCCCCCCCTCCCCCCCTCCATGCATACGTACTAAATCAATGGCCCCTAAGAGGGTCCAGTAGAACTCCTCCCACTGACCAGAGGGTGGGTGCAGCCTTTTAACATTGATGGGTCCTACTTCGTGACAGCCCGCAGTGCGAATGTGGACAGCAGGAGACTGTGGCACGCAGCGTCTCTGGCCAATACAAAAACACGATAGGACTGCAAAGTATAGTAAAGGTAAAACATCACTGAAAAATATATATACAAATAATACTACGTATTTTTTTCTTGCAAAGTAAAGCTCACTGAGCTATTAGCTTTATTTCCCAAAGCGAACTGGTCACAAATGATAGCTTAAGGAAGTGGCTTATCACATGGACATTTATACTGGTAGGAACGAAGTGGACCAGACCACCAATAGATTAATGTGTCCGTCCATCCGACTGTCCGTCCGTCCGTCCGTGTATCAACATCGCCCCCTACTGCAAACACTTGGCATGACCCTACAAAAACCTTTAGACTCAGTGACGCTATCCTGGTAGCAACATCGCCCCCTACTGCAAACACTTAGGATGACACGTGTAACATTCCCTTATTCCCTGAGATAGCTTTTAATTAAAACTTTGAAATTAAATAAAACAAACTCACAGCGCCCTAAAGCCTACAGCTAGGCCTAAAGCCTAGAACTAGGCCTGAAACTCTCCCTTCGTATCGTACCCCCGCGTGTGTGAAAGGGAGTTATGTTTAACAATGTTACATTCCCTCATGTCTTTAAATAGAAACATTTAAATTTAAAGCTTTTACATAAATCATTAAAACATTTAAATTAAAAATTTAACTCACAGCGCCCTAAAGCCTACAGCTAGTCCTAAAGCCTAGAACTAGGCCTCAATCTCTCCCTTCGTATGGTCCGATTTGGTGTAGCAACATCGCCCCCTACTGCAAACACTTGGCAGGACCCTACAAAAACCTTTTGACTCAGTGGGGCTTTCCTGGCTTAACAAGTGTAATAATAAACTTCGCTTCAAATTTACTTTACTGAAACGCAGCACGTTTTTTTTTTAACACAGAGACAAGATACATTTATTAACACAGAGACAAGATACATTTAATCGCCTTATTTGTGCACGAAAAGCACGGCGCGAGGCCTAGTGCGGCAGGCTTCGCGAGGCCTAGTGCGGCAGGCTTTGCGAGGCCTATTGCAGAGAAGGCTTCGCGAGGCCTACTGCAGAGAAGGCTTCGCGAGGCCTACTGCAGGGAAGGCTTCGCGAGGCCTATTGCAGGGAAGGCTTCGCGAGGCCTACTGCAGGAGGCTTCGCGAGGCCTAGTGCAGAAGGCTTCGCGAGGCCTACTGCGACAGGCTTAGCGAGGCCGTCCCTCTGTCTGACAAGATGGCCGCCCGCTCCCCCTGCGATCCGTGAACTAAATGAACTAAACAAGATGGCCGCCCGCTCCCCCTGCGATCCGTGAACTAAATGAACTAAACAAGATGGCCGCCGCATCCGGCGCAGCCAATGACATCGCCTGTTGCAATCCTTTGCTCTGTGGGCGCGCGAGTCAGTGGGGAGGGGGGTGTTGACGTCATCGCTCTGTGGGCGCGCGAGTCAGTGGGGAGGGGGGTGTTGACGTCATTGCTCCGTGGGCTCGCGAGTCAGTGGGGAGGGGGGTGTTGACGTCATTGCTCTGTGGGCTCGCGAGTCAGTGGGGAGGGGGGTGTTGACGTCATTGCTCTGTGGGCGCGCGAGTCAGTGGGGAGGGGGGTGTGGACGTCATCGCTCACCCCCCATGCACAAATCATTTTCTTTTTAACTCCTCTATACCCGGTCGATATCCCTGTACCGGTATTAGTATTATTCCTACCAGCCCACCCCGCAGGGTCCTGTTAGCAGCAAAATAATATAAATGATCTAAACGAATGTTTCTACTAGGAGTAAATGCTCAGAACCTGCTCACAGCAAAAGCTGAGGCGTGTTTTGCGTTGAAGCTTTAAAGGACTCAGAATGAGTTACACCCCAATAAAGCTGGTTTCAAAAACTACATATTCAACAACCCGGGATATTTACACCTAGTACGCCTCCAAGCCATGCACCATCACCATAAGCACGGCGATGTGGGGTTTTTGCCCGCCCTCCCACAAACGATCTGTAATTGTTTAATATTAATGGTCGATATGGTGAGGACAAAGGCGTTTTGTGATTATTTTACAAGGACTGTTACAATCATTAAGTCGCAATAGTTGTAGAAGCAGTTGTGAACCAGACTTAATAGTCACTTCCTCCCACCATGAATAATCAGAAGATCAAAGTCAAAGGTGCCCCACAACACCGAAGTTAAACATATGACAAAAATGTAATGCCCTAAATTCATGGAATTACTAGTAATAATGATTATACAAATAGCATCCTTTATGCAACTGCATCCCACAATGCTGTATATTTCACAAATACAGGGACAAAGATGAATGTTTTTAGAGAATTAATGAATGTTCATGCATGTGGTGGGAAACTGGAGTACCTGGAGAAAATTCACACTTGCAAGGGGCAACACTCCATCCCATAGTGATAGGACAGTTAATATTAGTCAATGTTATGAATTCCACTGCTTCAAAATGTAATTGGTTATTTGTCTATCTCAAGCACAATTTGATTTGGAGCTGTCGATTCTGTATGAAAACTTCACTTGTAAATATAATTGATACAGATCTGATTACATCCTAAATCAATGTTTTTGTAACTTAACTTTACAATTTGGTTTTAACAGTGATTTATCTGAGCTAATTTTATGATTGGAAATGTTTTTAATTCAATATCAATTTATATTTATGCATTTTCTTTTCTGTAACACATTTCTTTTTGCACGAATTTATGTTTGCTTCACTGTTGTGGTTGTTTTATTTTATTGTGTTTGCCATTTTGGTGACCGAAGTCACTCTTGCAAATGAGACTCATTCTGGTCTCGTAAGTTCTCACCTGGTTAAACAAAATGCATTGGAAATGCAAAGCTGAACATTCCAAATGTGCAATGTTAACTTATGTTTCATCTTACCTAATGCTCCATTTGATCAAAAATCTAATTGACAACCATCATTTTAAAATTAAAAGACAACACAAAAGGCACAAAAAGATAAGAATTCTCTGAAAAGACAATTGGCCAGCAACACACTGCACTGCTGAAGGTGCAATAGATTGGAGTTAATAAGATGTGATTGGTCTTTTTGTAATGTGAGGGTACAAAAACTCTCATGATGGATTGATCAAGGTTTTTACAACAACTTGAGACAATAGAAGATGGTGGGGAATTCCACAGACAGGTCATGCGAGAAAAAAGATTTGAACAACATTGGGTTCAAAAATTCCGTGGGTATCGAGGTGCTCTAACTACTGCACCACCTTTCCCTGCTCCATAATTAGAATTGCTCAAAAATGCCCTCCAGGTGTGGGCAGGTTGTCCTGAGTTCCCACAGCACCACCCAGAACTGCTTGACCTTTTGTTGTCTTTTCACCAAAACAAGCTCCAGCAGGTATTCAGTCGCCTTCTTGCTGCCTTGCCATTGCTCCCTTTCTTTCGCTTCCTACACAGACACAGTCACAAAGCGTGTTGCTTAGAACAGAGCGATGTTCCAGGCATTTGGTACATTTTCAGACCCACTGTTTAGACCCACTGCCAGTCTACTCTGTGTGTGTTTCAGTTAAATGGCAAAGGTTTGACTTCGCTTGATGCTTGTGCATCGATAACACAATCTGTTGATGATGTTAACATTATCCAACTAAAGGTGTAAAGCTTTAACTTATTGATTCTGTCTTCTTGGTTCTTTCGGTAAAGTCACGTAGAAGGGAAGTAATAAAATAATAAAAATAAAACATAATATAATAATTCTCACGACATTTCGGCCACAACGCAAGCAGCCGTCCTCAGGTGAAGACCAGGTCTGTCGGGGAGACAGCGTCTGAATGAAACACCACCACGCTTGGAGCGTCTATTTAAGCTGGGTTGGAAGGGGGGAAAGTGCGCCTTGACAAAATCATTTGCATATCAAGAGGAATTTTGCATATTTATGGGAAATGCAGGAATGTGATTAGTACATTACAATTTTATACTATTTATTATTATACAATCTGCTATACACTATACACACACCGCTATACACCGCTATACACCGCTATACACTATACCATTGACCGTAAACGTGAACACAATCAGTTAAGATCCGGATCTTAACTGATTGTGTTCACGTTTACGGTGACTTTCAGACTGCAGTCCACTCACTGGCATGACCATATATCTTGTGTTCTCCGCAGGGAATGGATTCTTTGCTCCGCTGCAAGTCTCCTACTACCACTCTTCCATTGACATATTTCGTTGCTTCCTCTTAGTATCTTTCACTCGACGGTCAATGGTATAGTGTATAGCAGATTGTATAATAATAAATAGTATAAAATTGTAATGTTTAATACAATGTATAAGGCAATATATAGTATCATAATTGTATAGTGAATATACAGCAGTGTGATATACAGTAGGGTGGACAGAATAATACATAGTGTAATATTACACTATGTATTATTCTAAGGTATAGGATGGTATATAGTAATACAGTGTGTAATTTAATGTTGGGTTTATCTATGGCAGCATATAGTACGGGATAGACCCGTGTGATGTAAGGGAAAAAAGTTTAGCTGGAAGCATATTATATTTTTTGCGACATAGAATTGTAATGCATTACTTACTGTTAGTAGCTCAGCTTATTGAGAGTATATTTAGTATACTGATGATACTATGTAGTTTATACTTTAGTTTTTTACGTGGTTGTTTAGTTACTGCAGCTACATACTATTAACATTCCTTCCCTTTATTAATGCTACCCCTATCCCCTCCCTTTGATGCTGCTAATCCTGCATAATGCACGGGCATAATATGACTTTGAAAACCCCCCGCCCACCTACGCATTTCACAAGTAGTACTATTCACATTCCTGCATTTCCCATAAATATGCTAAATTCCTCTTGATATGCAAATTATTTTGTCAAGGCGCACTTCCCCCCTTCCAACCCAGCTTAAATAGACGCTCCAAGCGTGGTGGTGTTTCATTCAGACGCTGTCTCCCCGACAGACCTGGTCTTCACCTGAGGACGGCTGCTTGCGTTGTGGCCGAAACGTCGTGAGAATTATTTTATTATGTTTTATTTTTATTATTTTATTACTTCCCTTCTACGTGACTTTACCGAAAGAACCAAGAAGATGAATCCCTGCAGTCACGAAAGCTTTAAATCGAAATTTATTGATTCTGTTCGTCTTGTAAAGTGGGGGCACAAAAACTTTCAGCAAGATGACTCAATGTGAACATGAGTTTAGTACAAAGTTTTGCTGCTATTATGGACTCGTCTTGAAGGATGTTGGCCAAATTGATTAAAGAGTCACCATAAGGTTGCAGGCAGCTAGTGCCAAACGGCTTAACCTTGCATCTGGCCTCGTGGCCAATGCGCGTGCACCTCCCCATTGCTCCCAATAACGTTATCATGCGATGGTTTATCTCAGGACGTTACACATCATGTGCTGTGTGAGGTATTTTTATTCTCTAGATAGGAATGTGATGTTATTTTTTATATTGAAATACTTCCGAGGACAAAAGTTAGACATTTTCATAGAATACTTGGATCACCTACATGGAACATGTTAATGAGGGCCGTCGTATCTTCATGTTAAGGACAGACTGCACACCATCCTACTCTCTCGCACCTTGTAATTTAACATTTTCAATTTGATCTTGATCACCCTTCAATTACTACACCAGACCAGGGCCATACCTGCAGATTGATGTCAGTGAATATCTTTCGGCTCTGTAGTTGCGACAGCAGGGGTATCACGTTGGAGTGCAGTGCATCGATCAGCTCCAATTTGTGGGATTGGATTTTTTCTATCAGCGAAAAGTTGGTATACTTGTTCAGAAACAAAGTGGTCTTCTTGCAAAGCCTTTGGAAAAACACTGCAGTAAAAAGAGACAAAGTCAATGCTGTTTCAGCCTTAGAGGTGGACAAGAGGAGGTTGGAGTGCTTTTGGAAAACTGAACTTGATCATGAAAAGTAGCACTCATTTTCCTGAAGAATAACAATTTAATTAATTGTACATTACCTGACATGGCATGGATAATATACATGGAGGTTGACAAGGAATAAGGAACAAACACTGGAAAATGTCCAAAGAAAAATGGAAAAGTGCACATTTGGAATTAGAGTGATAGACAGAAAGTGGCACACATGTATGCATGTATGTTGAACTTCTTTCGGACCATAAGTAGCCAATCATTGAAAATGTGATGTCTTTGACTGCTAAGAAAATTAATTGGGCTTTGTTGGGACAGGTCGCTAGGAGGATTGGGAGCCCGGTGGTGGAGACGAGTGATGGATTGGCAGACAGAGGAGGGTATACACCGAAGGGTGTGCACACCGTCGAGTTGGAAGAGTTAAATTGGCTAAGGTTCTGGAGCTATATGGATTGTAAAAAAATACTATGTGGATTAACAGCGGCTTGGGGATGCCTTCATTCAGCAGTGGATAGAATATAGCTGATGATGCCTCATAGAAATCGATTACAGGGCTATAGTAGCAGGGTTAAAACTGTCAACTCATTGCAACCCGACTCCTTCGTGAGTGTGCTGACCACTTGGTCACCCAGTGTTCATATTGGCAGTTCTTTACATAAAAAAGCAAGAAAGCTTTGAAATGTAGTAATTTCTCACCAAGAGAGCCCAGCCACTGCGTGACTTCAGGATACTCGTCCTGCACGGCTTGCAGAGCAAACAGCAGCTGGAGGCAGTCGTCATTGCCTCTGTATATGAAGTAGTTGAGCAGTGCCTCTGCAGACTTCTCATCGGCATCCATGCCCTTGGTTTGAGCGAAGATCCTATTAGGAAGAATTCGTCCTTGACTCATCAGCTGCAGCAGCAGATGTCGGGGGTCTCTAGCGACCCACAACTTCAGATCCAACTTTTTCTCTTCAATGGACCGTACAGACTCACCTGTGACAGAGTTTTGAATGCATTTAGATTTCTCTTTTCAAATGCATTGTATTTTAGTTTTACTATCCTGCTATTCCAAAATGTGCCAACAGAATAAAGGAACACGCAACATATGTTAATTACGGCATTCAACCATTTTTAAAATTAACATTGGAATGTTGTACAGTACCTGTGCATATGCAGGATGTATTATTAATGTGGGTCATACCGTGCTTCTGAAACCAGCTCCTTAGTGGCTCGTAGTTCCTCTTCACATGGTAGAGAACTGTCCACAGTTCCCACAACGCCGTCTCTTCTTGATTAAAGAAGTGATCTAGTAGGACCTCCACACATTCCTCCCAATGTTTGTTTTTGGCTGCTTGGTAAACTTCGTGTGGAATAGAATGTGAGTCGTCAACATATTTCAGGAAGTGCGATATATCCGCTCCAATCCATTCCTTGAAATTCTCCTTGTTTTCTTTGATGAGTTTCAATGTGTCACTCTGATGGAGGTCATGAATTAGAGAACAAGGGAGTTACGTTTTTTTTCTATGTGCAATGGATCCCAAAGCATATTTCATCCTAAGCATAGATACTAAACAAATGAAGAGTATGTTCAATGTGCATGCAAACTGCATCTAGTTTACCTGAACTCCATTGGACACCACATCAACACGTGGCACACTGATTCCATTGCTCTTTGTTTTGGTACTACCTGTGAATACATATAATAGTACTAGCTTACCATTGATTCAAGTGGACAGTTGGTGTGGTTAAATAGTATTTTCTCATTTTATAGCAGCAAATTACATTATTAGAACCGAATAATAATGATGCTAGACACAGAATGTAAGACACTGAGATGAGAGTGAAGGAGGACATTTACATTACAAACTTGATAACATACTCTACAGACATGAACAGGAATTGAGGTTGAACAATTGCAGTAAAGATCAATATGTCTTCATCATGCTACCTCGCATCCCCAGTACATTCTACATTCTGCCAGATCATGCAGTTGCTGTACAATTGTTACCTGACCTCAAGATCTGCTCACTATCTACTCTTAGGTCTCCCCCTTTGTTGTTGCACTTCTGGAGACCACTCCAATGCCTGTCTCAACGATTGGCCATGACCCATTGTGTACACACGTCCCACCCAGCACAAACGTATTTAACGATATCTAAACTGCTTACCGGTCATGTTCTCTTCCGAACTTATGCATTGCTTATGCTATCTTGTCATTACATTTCTAGAATAATTTTCATACATTTGTGATCAAATGCCAACATCATCTTATTTTCAAACTAGAAGTAATGTTTGTCGTCACTATCATGGTGTGGTTGCTGGAACACGGCATCATATGGTAACTGCTCCTTTTCCATTTTGTTCAGGTTCTATTGGTCTCTGAGTCTCATCTGCCTCGAGTAACCCACATTACCAAGGCTCCCAATGCCCTGTTGTGGACGCTATTGTCTCTTGTGATCATTGTCTGTATGTTAGGACTATACCAAATGTCCCACACTCATGAAATCGATATCTGTAGCCATCACTTCCAGAAAGACTCATGACGTTGTCCATCTTCCACAACAAGGACAGGGAATTGTTTTTCTGGAGAGTAGAGCATTCTCAACGAACAAGGGAACCTCACCTCTAGACAGTTACAGCAAGTTTGTGCTAAACAGAAGCAAAACAGAACTAAAATAAATGTGTAGCTAAGCACTGTCTCAACAGGTTAAAAGCTTGGCTGTGTCGGGAGGTGGCAGGTTTAATGACACATTTATATATTTATGCGATCTAACACTAAAACACATCTATTATGGAGGTTAATATTTACTCAATAATATACTAGCCTGCAGTAGGATAGCATTATATGGTCACTAACGCTTGAAACTAAGTGTTAAATTTGGTATAACAGTTTTTGTTGAATATTACACCGGATTTACACATGTATATACTTTCAAGCCGCACTTAACTTATTAGCTCAAATATGTATTATGTACATTTTCTCAATCTCAGAGAGCCCATCAGTTATTTTAGCAAATAAAATAAATAGTTTAGATAACACTGCCACGTTCTTAAAGTAAACTTTGTGGCATTGCTCCATTATTCAACCAAATAATCAAAACTGCCGAGGATCTATGGATAACCAAACATCCACAAACAGTACTGTACTGCATAATACGTATAATGTTGTGGGTTTATCCTTCAACACACCGGTGTGCTGAACTTGTTACGAATTGGCATGTTTTGTTTACGTGACAAACCTTACTAAATTGGCTGTATCAGGTGGTGGTGGTAATAAAATAATAAAAATAAAACATAATAAAATCAAATAATTCTCACGACGTTTCGGCTACAACGCAAGCAGCCGTCTTCAGGTGAAGCCTTCACCTGAAGACGGCTGCTTGCGTTGTAGCCGAATTATTTGATTTTATTATGTTTTATTTTTATTATTTTATTACTTCCCTTCTACGTGACTTTACCGAAAGAACCAAGAAGATGAATCCTTGCAGTCACGAAAGCTTTAAATCGAAATTTAAAGGTGGTGGGTTTAACAGCACATTTATATTTACGTGATCTAACCCAAAAACCTCTTATGGTCATTATCTATATATATAAAATCGTGCATGTCTGTCTGTCTGTGTATGTGTGTGTGGATTTCGGACCATACGCACTTTCATTGGACGGCGGTTGCCCCTGGCAACAGCTAACGACGCCTTCGCCGCTTTCATTGGACGGCGGTTGCCCCTGGCAACGAGTAGCAACTTTTCGCCGCGGGGTGGACGCCATTTTTAATAGCGCGGGGGGGGGGGGGGGGGCCGGCACCCGTACCCAGCGTTCGCCGGGTGGGAAAATCAGGCAAGGCGGGAGGCTCTGCACGGTGCTAGGCCTCGACACCCAACACGCCACTCTGAGGTAAATTCATACAAATTTCACGTCCTCTACAGAGTGGCGAGGGAGGCAGAGTGGCGAGGGAGGGAGAGTGGCGAGGGAGGGACTCAGCCTCAAAACGAGTAACTGGTGTGGCGTATCAACATCGCCACTGGGGAGACAAAGGCGGCCGGGCGTGGTGGATACAAGTCCCGGGCAAAGCCGGGTCATGACTATGTGTGTATGTGTTTATGTGTATGTCTGTGTGTCTGTATGTATGTGTGTATGTATGTGTCTGTATGTGTTTGTGTGTATGTATGTGTGTGTCTGTATGTATGTGTGTGTGTATTGTGTGTCCGGCAAAACAACCTCCTACCTCCTCGCGGTGCCGGACGGGCAACACTGTCGTGGGCAGTGCTGTGGGGGGAGGGCCAATGCCCATTGGCCTCTCCCCTCATGGCGTCTGTGACCACCACAGTGGCTAAACGGGGGCTCTGGACGGGTGTGAGGGGCTGGTAACCCCTCCACCTTCAATTCATTACCACTAAACCACGAATTAAACATAAACCTGTAACAAATAAGCTTGTGCCGGAGGCCCCGGGGGGTCAGGCTTTTATGACGTCTCCTGGCCAAACCCCATTTGGCGGAGCCAGGAGATTGAATTTTCACCCTCGGGGCTCCTCCAGAAACAACAAAAAACCATTGCGGATGGCCACGTGGAATGTTCGAACGCTCACTGCGGAGGAGAGGCTGCCACTCCTCTGTCGGGAGCTGGACCGGTACCGCCTGGATCTCTGTGGCATTCAGGAGGTCCGGTGGACCGGTTCTGGCTCCTGCCACCATGAGGGGTGGACAGTCCTCTACTCGGGGCAGGAGACTGCCAAACAACAGGGTGTGGCTCTTCTTCTGAACAAAAGAATGAAGGGGGCGTGGGAGCGTGGCGGTGAGGTGTGGGAAGCTGTAAGCCCCAGGATACTTTGGGCTCGCCTTCCCATCAACCAGAGGCGAGGAGTGGTGGTCGTGGTTACTTATGCCCCCACCGAAGACGAACATCCGTGGAGGGATGCAAGCAAAGCCGATGAGTCAGACGCTTTCTATGACCTCCTGTCACAGGTGCTGGCTAAAGTGGCCACTCGGGACAGAGTCATCTTGTTGGGTGACTTCAATGCCCGAGTTGGTCATGATGCTGACACCTGGTCTGGAGTGATTGGAAGGCATGGGCCAGATCAGCTCAATAATAACGGTAGGAGGCTGCTAGATTTTTGTGCAGCCCATGGGCTTGTAATTACCAACACGCTCTTCCGGCATCGGCGCATCCACACAACATCATGGATACATGCCGGGTCCAAGCAAGAACATCTGCTGGACTACATAGTGACGGACCAGCGGATGCGAACCCATGTCCTTGACACCAGGACCTACCGTGGAGCTGATCTGTCCTCTGACCATCGACTAGTCATCTGTAAGATGCGCCTGCCTTTCTTCCACTCCGGTGGTGGGTGTACACCCAGGATCCCATTCCAACCAAAAGTGGCCTGGTCTCAGTTAGCTGATGAAAGTTGCAAGCGAGAATTTCATCATCGCTTGCAGCTGGGGTTGGCATCGTCCCCCACTCCACCTGATGTCGAGGGTAAATGGGCGAGGTTTAGGACTGTGACTCATGCAGCTGCAATGGCTGCTTTGGGTACGCGGTCCAGACCTCCCCAGAAACCCTGGCTGACAGAGGAGGTGTTCAGGTTAATTGAGAAAAAGCGACAGGCCCACTCTCATCGCCTACAGCATCCCACGTCAGAGAATGAGGAGGTTTACCGCAGCCTTCGCTCGGAAGTTCGGAGAGCCGTAAGGCGTTGTAAGGATGGGTGGTGGTCGCGGGTTGCTGAGGAGATGGAGTCTGCCTCAGTGGCCCGTGATCACAAATCACTATTTAACTCCATCAAAAAAGTAACCTGCAGCGCCACACCTATTACCATCATTAGAGGAAAAAACGGTGATCCAATCTCCGACCCCCAGGAACAGGTTTGCAGATTTGCTGAGCATTTCTGTGAGGTCCTGGGGGAGGGAAATTCTCTCAGCCACGAAAACATCATGGCACAAAGTGGGGATAACCCTGCTGAGGCTGCGGTGCCTCAAATATTGGAAGAGGTCACCCCCTGTGAGTGGCTGGCTGAGGTTCCAGCTGTTGAGGAAGTACTGAGGGCGATCCGGAGTCTGAGACCAGGGAAGGCACCGGGCAGAGATGATCTCCCAAGCGAAATGCTGAGGGAGGGTGGCGTTTGTGCACAGACTGCCCTATATGACATCATAACAACAGTCTGGACTACTGGACGGGTTCCGCAGGACTGGAAGGATGCCCTGGTGGTCCCCCTCTTTAAGAAGGGGGACCGCACAGACTGTAACAACTACAGGGGCATCTCACTCCTCAGTGTGCCGGGTAAGGTCCTGGCAAGGATTATTCAACATCGCCTTGCTAGGCACGCTGAGGAGGGGCTTGCGGAGCCCCAATGCGGTTTCAGGAAAGGGCGGTCCTGCACAGATGCCATATTTTCTGTCCGTCTGCTACAGCAGAGGTGTAGGGAATTCCAAAAAGACCTACATCTCTGCTTTATTGACCTGGTCAAGGCCTATGATACCATCAGTAGGACTGGACTCTGGGTTGTTCTTCGTGCTTTCGGAGTCCCTGACCCTCTGCTCACGATCATTAAGGACCTTCATGATGGTGAGCGGGCCCGGGTAAAACTACGTGGCCGGGAGTCGGAGCCTTTCCCTGTACACCTTGGGGTGCGACAGGGATGTCCTCTGGCTCCCACATTATTTAACATCTATTTTGACCGCGTAGTTCGT